ATAGATAGATAGATAGATAGATAGATAGATAGATAGATAGATAGATAAAAAGACTGAGACAAAAAAAAAGGTCTCCGGGTGAAATAAACTACCATAGAGGTAGCATAGACTATGATCCAAAAAACTGTACCCATTGAAATGCTGCAATATAGAAGATGTTGATATTAAACATGATTTGCAGCCAGGTGTGGTGGCGCACGCCTTTAATCTCAGCACTCGGGAGGCAGAGGCAGGCAGATCTCTGGGAGCTCAAGGCCAGCCTAGTTTACAAAGCCAGTTCCTGGACAGGCTATTACATAGAGAAACTCTGTCTCAAAAAACAAAAACAAAACAAAATGCTTTATAAACATTTAAATTAAGGATAAAATTAATTAATTAACTAATTAATTAAGGATAAAAGGGGTCAAGACTTCATATTGCCCAATAAGATTTGAGGAGGAAAGGAATGTCTTAGCTGAGAAACTGACCCAGGATGCAGCACAGACAGACACAGCTGGTAAACTTGGGAAGCAACTAAGGAGAAATCAAGAGTGGAGGAACATGATACGAGAAGCAACGACAGTCTAATTAAAGATCTAGAAGGAGGTGCTCGCTTCGGCAGCACATATACTGAAAATTGGAACGATACAGAGAAGATTAGCATGGCCCCTGCGCAAGGATGACACGCAAATTATTCGTGAAGCGTTCAAAAAAAAAAGATCTAGAAAAAGAAAAATTAGAAAGAATCAAAATATGAAGAAACTATAGGTGAGTTCACAAGAGACCTCCACTCTTAGATTCTGTAATCTTAACCAGTGTCCCAAAGAAATTCCCACCTACACAGACTAGTCAAACTGCAAACGAGCGCACGCGCACACACACACACACACACACACACACACACACACGACCCTGAAAGCATTCAGGAAGAAAGGACAGATCTTTCTACTTGGCTGATAATAAGTGGACAGCTGCCTTCTCCATACAGCTATGGAAGGCAGGAGACAATGGAATGTCACTTTTAATGAGCTAAAGGGAAAATAACATTCATCTTCCATCTAGCAAAAACAGCTTCCAAGGCGTTGAATGAGATAAAGAAATACTGAGAAACGTATCAGCGGGGAGTTTGCTATGAGCAACACTTCCCGCATCACTATTTCTTATGCACATAGGCATATAGGACATGGACCTCTGGAAGGAAGAAAAGGCTGCTCGAGAAGAGATGGACACAAGAAAGCAATAATAAACTTGACTACAGTCTAAGCCAATGTTGACCATACAACATAAAACATTTCACTGAAGGAGCAAGAAAGAAGTGTAATAGCGCTTACAGTGCCGTGTGAAAATGGTATGTGTATCTGGTATTTTCCCCGGGACCGGGACAAAACGCCTGACTAAATAAACTTAAGGATTCATTCTGGCTCACAGGCTGAGGATAAGATCCATCATAGAGAGACAGGTACGGCTGCAGGAACAGCTCTGTGGTGGCCGGAGCAAGGATGGCTGGTCACACTGCCCCCGGATTCAGGAAAGAGAAGCAGATGGGTAGATGGGTGTTGGTGAGCTGCTCACTTTCTCCTTCTTGTTCAGTCTAGCGCTCCCATCTCCCCTGTCCCTTACTTCCCCCATCCCCAGTCTGTAGGAAGGTGCCACCCACATTCAGGGCATGTCTTCTCTCTTCAATTAAGCCTCTCTGGAAACGCCCTTACAGACATGCTCGGAGATGTGTATCCTAGGTGATTCTAAACCTAGTCAAGTCGACAAGTGTCTATGAACCATCACGGCATGCGAGCTGGGAAGGAAACAATAGGAGGAAAGCATTGGAAGGCCCTTAACTTATTCCAGAAGAAGTTAAAATTTGACTAATCACAGAATAAATTAATTAAATATGAATATTAAAATTCCTAAGTTAGCACTTAAAAGAAGAGAAACACGGTTATTAAATTTCAAAATAGAAAAAAATCAAATTGGGGCATGGATGGAGGTGATGTCACTTGACATAAAAGGGGCAAAAGATGGAACAGATGATTTGCCACTTATGTTTAATTGTAATTAAAAGCACATAATTATTTGTTAATAACAATTTTCTTTTCCTTTTTCTTCCTTCCTTCCTTTCTTTTTTTTTTTTTTGTATTTTTTCAAGACAGGTTTTCTCTGTGTAGTTATGGCTGCCCTGGAACTCTGTAGACCAGGCTAGCCTCAAGCTCAGAGATCTGCCTGCCTCTGTCTGGGATTAAAGGCGTGTGCCACCACAACCCTGCAAGCTCCTTTTTTTTAAGACAGTGTCTCATGTATCCCTGCCTGACTTCAAGCTTGCTATGGAGGTGATCCCCCCATTTCTACCTCTGGATCCTGGGGACTGAACCCAGACTTCTGTGTATGCTGGGCAAGCATTCTACCACTGAGCTACACCCCTACCCACCTTGTTTTGTTGTTATTGTGGTGTGGGGGTTTTTGTTGTAGTTTTGTTGTTTTGTTGGGGTCTTTTTTGGTCTAAGATGTTCTGTCCAAATGTGGTTAGCATACATGCATTGCTTAAAACACTTGTAGGAAATCATAAAGGTCAGGTGAACAACCAACCATTGTAATACACACTCTGAACCTAACTAACACAGCTGCACCGTCCACAACCCCCCCAAAAGAGTCCACCCTCAATCAGAATAACAGAGAGAGCACTCTTGGGAAGTGGGCTGTCCTGTATGAGCAGCTTTATACAAGGAAGACACTACAGTGCTAACTTCTCAAGTCCCTATCACCGAGCAAAATATTCAGAGAATGCTGAGAGCATGTTTCTGCAGAAGCAATGAGGAGATGAACACAGCTCTCTCTGTTAGCGGAGTTTCCAAGTCGTGGTTACAGATCTGCTTTCCAAGAACAACACATTTATCTTAATTTCAACAAGTCAAGCTGTCTAGGTGGAGACGTGGCGTCCTCCCTGGTAACACACACATGGCTGAAAGGCCTCAACCCCAAAGTACTCATTCTGGGCACTCAGGGCATGGGAGCCGTCCTGGCTTGAAGGTACAAACCCCTGTGAGAGGTTTGTATGTCCTCAGAACCAATGGGCACTGGTTAAATCTGTTTTCTCATGGGGGGAAAGAAAATGAGGCCCCAGCTTAGGGATACTGAATGACCGGATGCAATGGTTTTAATGGGAGAGGGTTCAAGAGACTAGAGAAAGGGACAAGGGACACGAAGAATAGCAAGGGTGAGGACATGCCTATATTTAAACACACTTTAAATGGCCTTAAATTCACAAGGCTTTGACCCCTCATCCATACTAATTGATCACTAACTCTAAAAAGGGAAGCAGCTAACTCAGGATGAGCCATGCAGGCAGCCTAGACTTTTTTTGTTTTTGTTTTTGTATTTTTCAGAGTCACACCACCACGGCCCAGGCTGACCTTGACCTTAGAACCCCTTTGCTTCAGCCTGCAGAGTACTGGGGTTCCAGGTGTACACAGCATTTCAAAATCACAACTGTCCCACCCTGATTAACTGTAATCCGAGGCCACTGACAGTCCCCGACAACTGTACTGACCTTGAAAGGTGGTTGCCCAGTGACCAAGAGCTTCCATTTCTGTTACAAACCCTTTGTTCCTCTACCACAAAGCACATCCATTCTCTACAGTCCTTCGCCTGGAACTTGCAAGAGCTGCTCAACAAATAACATGAGAGGAGCCAGGAGCTAGTGAAGGCCAGCCGGCTAGCCTTCTGTCCCATTGCCCGGTGTGAATCCTGGCCACTTGGTCATTCACCCCATCTGAGTAGTCCCCAACAAGACACCTAGATCTCCTGCCAAGTCTATGTAATATCAATCCCGTTTACTGCAAAGTCTAGCGGTGAGTGAGCAGGAACTGATGGAGTATAGACACCACAGGGCACCAGGAACCACAAAAGGAGAGGTGCACAGACACTCAGCCACTGGGAGAACCTGGCCCTTCTAGGGGTCAGGCAACCCAGAGCCCTGGCCAGGGTACTCTGTCCAAAACACAGCAAGCTTGATACACCTGTCTGATTGCAGAGACTCCCTCCCAGCAATCCTTCCTGGATGCAGTGCCAACAAGGGTCTCTGCCCACACCTAAGAGGAACTGCTACCTCCACTCTCTTTCAGGGAGCTCAGGACACTGACCACAAAGATCTACAGGGGTCCTGCTTCCCCGGAGACAAAGGTCTGCTTGGGTAGGAAGCAAAGGACAATCCTCACAGTCAAGCCGACTTTTCAACACCGCCCTCTGCTTTTGACTGTCTGTCCCCACCCCCCCCCCCCCCCCCCCCCCAGAATCCTTTCCTTTCTCACTGGAAGCGCCAGAGAGGTGCTCCAGGACAGCTGAGCGCCAAGCCCCTCTGTCCACAGTGAGGTTCTATTTCCCAGAAACTGAGATCCCAAACCTGCCAAATCCACATCCCCCTCCAAGGACACTTAGTCGCCAGGACCAGGACGGGCACGGTTTAAATTTGTGTTAACATGACGTCACCTCTAAACACCTTGGTGAACTGACTCTCCCAGCTACTTGGACCACCTCTCTTTCTCAACTAGAGGGAAATTTTCCGCCCTCTGAGGAAATCCAATGTCTCTTGGGTTACTTTGTCCTGGCTGTTTGTAGAACAGAGGGCCTCAGGCATGGTAGGAAAAAGCTTTGACCTGAGCCATAGACCCAACCCTGCCAGAAACCTCTGTATCAACGCCCAGGGTTGTTGCCACTTAGTGGCCAGATAACCCTAGTTCAGCTCTGGGCCTCAGTTTCCTCGTTTGTACGGAATCTTACTATCTGATGTGAAGGTCAGTGAAGGTAAAGCCTGGGGAGGGCTCAGGGCAACACCTGAAGTAAAAGCACTCCTAAAAGTAAATGAACCAAATAAATAAACAAGCAAACAAATAAACAAACAAATAAATAAATAAATAAATGTAAAGGTAAGGGCAGTTTCCCCAAACCTTGTGAGCAGAGTTCAATCCCTCGGTGTGATGTGGTGAAAGACAGACCTTCACCTAACACTAACATTTTCCCTTCTGTTGTCTGCAAATACTTTCCAACCTATACCTGGCCCCTTAGAGTCCTATGACATGCTCCCTCCCTCCCCCAGCCCTACTTTTGGGCTACTCTGGCTCCACGCACACCGCACACCTCAGGTCCCTCAGTACTCAGCTCTCCACTGCTTCTTTACCCCGCTTGGTGCTGCTCCTTAAGGACTGGGGAGGGTTCAAAACTGATAACCCAACTCGTGGCCTGCGGTAGTTCATAGGGCGTGGCGCTGTTGGGAGGTGTGGCCTTGCAGAAGTGGGTGTGTCCTTGCAGAAGTGGGTGTGGTCTCGCTGAAGTAGGTGTGGTCTCGCTGAAGGAAGTGTGCCTGTGGGAACAGACTTTGAGGTCCCTTTAGTTTAAGCTTGGCTCAGTATCACAGCCCCATCCCGCCGCCTTCTGGGCAGGATGTAGCCAGCAGCACGTCTGCCTGCAAGCCTCCATGTTCCCTGCCATGATGATAATAGACTGCACCTACGAACTGTACGCGAGTCACCCAAAATAAACGTGTTCCTTTATAAGAGTTGCCTTGGTCGTAGTCTCTCTTCACAGCAGTATAAACCCTAAGATATGGCCTTTGACGTACTCAATGATTTAAAAAGGACACGGGAAGGCCTCCAAACCAAGGTTCCACTCACTTCTCTCCTGTCCCCTGACACGCTTGTCCCCTTCTGCTTGCTTCAGTTTGCTTTCTAGCTCTGCGCCGTCAATCCTCTCTGCTTTATTATTTTTATATAGTTATATGTTATTATTATTTATGTTTGATTATCCTCTCCGCTTCATTAGCAGCACCAATTATCAGAAAATCCAAAGTGAATAGCTTTCTCTACGCTCACTACTAATGATAGCGGGACCAACTGTGAATTCCCGCGTGCCCAGGGTCCCAAATAATCCTTATAAGGCAGCTCAGACCTTGGTTCACAGACAGGGAAGAAGTTCAAGGTAAAAGATGAGGGTGGTAACAGGACCAGGCTGTGTCTGGTTTTCTCCTTTCTTTCAGCTCTGTTCTAAGCTAAAATGACAGCAACAGATGGTCCAGTGGAACCTAAGAAGGTTTTGGCATCAGGGAAATTAAAAACATGTAGCGAGGAGGGAGAGAATGGATACATGGATACGGGGGAAGCAGGGGGCGACTTAGGGCATGTCAGGATGTAAATTATTGTGGGGTACCCTCAAATCCCCTTTGGACGGTACTGCCCCCAAACCAAAGCCTCACGCAGGCACCCAGCACAGCTGCTGCAAGAACGTCACACGTCCTTCCTCATTTTTCTGCGAAGCTGAGCCGAGGCTGGCATGTGGCCTTACCTGAAAGCAGAACTTCTCCTTTCATGCTGCCCCGCTCAAAGAAAGGGATTCCCCAGTCGACGAGATTTGCCCAAGCTGTTTCTGGAACTAGCTATGAAAGCTCAGGCAGCAGTTCAACTATGCAAGCCTCCAACCCATTAGGATCTAGCACATGTGTGGAAACGACAGACGCGAGACTGCTGTGTGTCATCTGAACCGTGGGTGACCATCCAGACCACAGCAAAGGTCGAAGCGAGTACAGGAAAATCCATAAGCTGCTTTCGGCCAACTATACTTTTCCAGAAGGTGAAATTGCGATTCTGTTTCCTATTAAAATGCCGCAGGGCTGGGAAGGCAGATCTCTGCAGCAGGAGCCGGGAGGCCCCCCAGCTCTGGATCACTCCCCTTCCAGGAGGGGAGTGGGGGGGGACCAACTAGGAGAGTAACAGGAGACTGAATAGGCCCTAGGGGGCTTCTCCTGTTTTGTAGATGAGGAAGATAAGATCAAAAAGCAAGCCTTCCCCACCCCCACTTTATTCTAGTTTTTCAACACATAAACTGGAAACAGCCCTCACTATCCAAGCCTTTAACACTAACTTTCTAGAAAAAAAAACTAAGGAAAAACCAAAAAACAAACGAGAAATAATACCACCCTTTCCAAAATCAACGACAAACTTTTTCTTAATCTCTAGATCAACTAAAACTGTAATAAGCCATATAATTAGCTAGTGGCTACATTCTCTCCTTATCTTGTTCACCTAAAAATAGAAGAAAAACAACCGGACTGCAGCAGTTACGGCAGGCCATAAAAACAAGTGGCTTCCGGTGCTGCCACAGGCTTCCGACAAAATGCCAAGGCGCCCCAACATGATACTCTATAGAGAAAGAGGCCTGTGCGTGTGATGTGACCGCCTGTGAGACAGGGCCAGTCACATTGTGGCCAGGATGCCTAGCAAAAAGGCCTGGAATGGCATCACCTGAGGCCTCAGAGGGGCCGGCCGGCTCAAGGATGCATCTTCAAATCCAGGTTCCCCGAAAGCTCTCTGGGCAGAAGAGGCATGTAGGCTTTGTGCCTGGAGCCTAGAAAGAGGCTGGCACCAAGCCTGGGCGGCAGCAACACTGCCCCTCTCATTCCAAGCCTGAACCTAGGTCCTTGTTGCTGGGAAATGGGCACGAACTGCTGTGCAGAATTCTCTCCACCGTGGGGTTCCTAGTCCCAGACGGCCATTGGTAACCTCGCTCTTTCTCCAACCACGCCAGCAAGCCCAGATCCAAGGTCCCAAGGCGGGTGTTGGAGGGTGGGGAGCAGCCCAGGGGTTACCCAGCCCACGGGGTACCCAGCTCAGGGGGTACTCAGTTCAGGACCCTCGAGGGCTTCAACTCTGGAGGTTCCTCCCGCAGTTTCCGCTGACCCGGGACTAAAGTGATCAGAGGAAGACAGGAAGCGGGGAGACCTTCAGCCCCGCTGCACACCGTAGGCTGCAATGGCGACAGGTGCGCGGCACCCTGCGGGCTAGAGTCCCCGGCCGCTGCGCGTCCTTCTCTCCCCCTCAGCTACTCGGGGCACGCGGCACCCCTTACCTGTGGCTCCGGGGGCGGCCTCAGCCGCCATGCTTCGGTTCAGCTGGTACAGCGTCTGCCACCGTGTCGGCCTCTACCCTCTTACCCCAACCCCCACGGCCACCACCTCTCTACCTCGAGCTCCCTCGGGGCTACCCCGCCCCTGCCACCTTCCCGGGGGGCTTTCTCCTCACTGTTTGCCTCCGGGCCTTCTTTATTTCCTCCCTGAGGACCACAGCCCAGTAGTCTCATTACCACACCTTGACTTCACAAAGTTTACAAAAAACAGTGTTTGCACCAAAATAGAGTTTATTATTGTCCTTGAGCGACCAAGTCACACAGGCACACACCCTCCCCGCCACTGTTCCCGTGGTCAGCTGGCTAGAGTCCCTGCACCTAGGTCTGTACTGGCCAGATTTTCCACCACGGCCCCTTTTATTTCTAAGCGCAAAAATTGTTTGCATTAACACTTTATTTAAATAATTTTTTTACTTCATAAATTTATATTTCTTATCCTGAGCTGAACTGATCTCACCCCTAGATGGTGGCTTTGTCATTTTACTAACTCAGAAACAAGCTAGTGTGATTCATGCTAAAGGTGATTTTGAGATAAAATATAGATAAATTCTTTGGAGTAAAAAAAAATGCAATGGCGAATGCAGAGGTTCTTGCTGTCCCAGTTGCAGAAAAATAAGTAAGGAATGTGGTTCCAGCCCTGAAACCGCCAGTTACACCATCCTGTCTACGGCTCTGGGAACACTGAGGAAGAGATCAAGAAAGGGAATGAGAAGGGAAAGAGGAGGAAGAGATAAGACATGCTATTCTCTATTGTAATCAGTAACCAACAGCAATTGTATTTCCCTGCGTTGACCTCACACTAGACCATAATCAGTGTATGAAGCGTGACCCTGATTAGTATTATCAATAAATACCTGGAGTCAGATATCGAAATAAATGTTGAAAGATCAGAGAAGTAAAGGAGCAGTCACCAGTGACTTCTGACTTCTTCCAATCCTCTGACCAAATGGGGGCATTAACCTTTTTTTTTTTTAACAACCTTGCATGGCTGAAAAAAATAGCTAAAATGTAAGAAATGTGCACCTAATG